ACATTTCAAAACCCAGTTATATAATCTCCCAACAATACCAAGTCTTTCCATCTTAATCAGTAGGCCTTCTCTCCACATAGTCATAAGCCTTTTCAATGTCAAAAAAAGACAGTAGCCATTACTTCTTTCATGACCAGAGTTTTTTCAACTTCATTGCTCACCCAAGTAATCTACCTTTACAGAATCCACTTTGACTCAATAAACCTCTATGTTCCAGGAAATATGACAATCTTTTGACATTTTTTGACCTACAACCAAAACTAGAATTTGAGTGGACTTGCTTCTTCCAGTCATCTTCTTCAACATAGACCATACATCCCCCAGCTCAGTACCTCTGCCTATTGTAGAGCAGAACTGTCTCCATGCATTTATCTTGAAAGACTTAATGACCCTATGTACTAAAGCTCTCTTCCTTTGGAAATCAACAAGATTCTCAGGAGTCATATTCCTACGCAACACTCTGTAAGCCCTATTTATTTATTGAATAGCCGCAGTGCACTCTTCAGTCCACCAAGGAACCATCTTCCTTTCTCACCCACTTCTCTCATTGGTACATATAAATTCGCAGCACTCAAAATCAGAGGTCACAGAGGCAGCACATAAATTCAGCAAAAAAAGAAACGTCCCTTTTTCAGGACCCTGTCTTTCAAAGGTAATTCGGGAAAAATCCAAATAACTTCACAGATCTTCATTGTAAAGGGTTTAAACACTGTTTCCCATGCTTGTTCAATGAACCATAAACAATTAATGAACATGCACCTGTGGAACGGTCGTTAAGACACTAACAGCTTACAGACGGTAGGCAATTAAGGTCACAGTTATGAAAACTTAGGACACTAAAGAGGCCTTTCTACTGACTCTGAAAAACACCAAAAAAAAGATGCCCAGGGTCCCTGCTCATCTGCGTGAACATGCCTTAGGCATGCTGCAAGGAGGCATGAGGACTGCAGATGTGGCCAGGGCAATAAATTGCAATGTCCGTACTGTGAGATGCCGAAGACAGCGCTACAGGGAGACAGGACGGACAGCTGATCGTCCTTGCAGTGGCAGAACACCTGCACAGGATCGGTACGTCCAAAAATCACACATGCGGGACAGGTACAGTTACAGTTACAGTTACACCAGGAACACACAATCCCTCCATCAGTGCTCAGACTGTCCGCAATAGGCTGAGAGAGGCTGGACTGAGGGCTTGTAGGCCTGTTTTAAGGCAGGTCCTCACCAGACATCACCGGCAACAACGTCGCCTATGGGCACAAACCCACAGTCGCTGGACCAGACAGGACTGGCAAAAAGTGCTCTTCACTGACGAGTCGCGGTTTTGTCTCACCAGGGGTGATGGTCGGATTCGCGTTTATCGTCGAAGGAATGAGCGTTACACAGAGGCCTGTACTCTGGAGCGGGATCGATTATTTGGAGGTGGAGGGTCCGTCATGGTCTGGGCGGGTCTCACAGCATCACGGACTGAGCTTGTCATGCAGGCAATCTCAGCGTGCGTAAGGGAAACCCCCCTCATGTGTACTGTAGATCTAACAGTCTACAATGCTGATGTTGCAGAAAGTGTGATAGGGGAACTTGCCCTAAGTTTTTGTTGCAAATGGGGTGTAATATGGTCACTTGGTTGTAACATCTGGAAAGCATATGATGCTATGAGAAGAGATGGGAGTGAGGGGAAAGCAGGGATGTTTCAGAATACACATAATAGTCTAAGGATGAATGCCAGTCTTGGACTGGGGGAGAATAGTAATCAGATTGCTCGGTGTTCAGCATTCAGAGTCTGTAATCTGAGCTGGACTTGTTATAATAAACCTTGAAACAGAGTACAGGTCGGCAATCTCCTGTATCATTACAGCTGGACAGCAAAAGTCTCTTAGTACCACAGTACCCTTCCTGCAGTCTCATCCTGACATGACCCTCCAGCATGACAATGCCACCAGCCATACTGCTCGTTCTGTGCGGGATTTCCTGCAAGACAGGAATGTCAGTGTTCTGCCATGGCCAGCGAAGAGCCCGGATCTCAATCCCATTGAGCACGTCTGGGACCTGTTGGATCGGAGGGTGAGGGCTAGGGCCATTCCCCCCAGAAATGTCCGGGAACTTGCAGGTGCCTTGGTGGAAGAGTGGGGTAACATCTCACAGCAAGAACTGGCAAATCTGGTGCAGTCCATGAGGAGGAGATGCACTGCAGTCCTTAATGCAGCTGGTGGCCACACCAGATATTGACTGTTACTTTTGATTTTGACCCCCCCTTTGTTCAGGGACACATTATTTAATTTCTGTTAGTCACATGTCTGTGGAACTTGTTCAGTTTATGTCTCAGTTGTTGAATCTTGTTATGTTCATACAAATATTTACACATGTTAAGTTTGCAGTTGACAGTGAGAGGACATTTCTTTTTTTGCTGAGTTTACATCAACCATCCTCTCTAAAGACAACTGTCCAACAGACTTTAAGCAATGATCACCAAACTTTTCCCAGTCTGCTTTATGAAAGCACCATCTTCTGAATGGTACCCTATCTGGAATAGTAACATCAAAGTTCATGGTACACGAAATCGGGAAATGATCACTTCCAACAGTAGAATCATTCATTACATTACATTCATACATAGATGCAATAGAGTTAGAAGCCATTGTGAGGTCCAGGCAGGATGTAACCCCTCTAAAAACATCAACTCTTGTACCACATCCATTGTTAAGACATACTAATGCTCTTGTTTCCATCATATCTTCCACAATAGTACCATTAGCATCTGTATGTGTGCTTCCCCATAAACTATTACGTTCATTAAAGTTGCCGCACCATATCTCTCTAGAGCCCAAGTCTCCTGATATTTCATCAAACATCGCTACAGACAGTTGACGACAAGGGTTGCAAAAATTGTGTAACTTAATATTGCTACCTGCACTGTAGATTTTCACCATCACACATTCATATTCAGATGGGACAGTTATATTACGATATACAATACCTCTTATGAACGTAGCACAACCACCAATTGATCTATCAGATCTGATTGAACAATAACCAGGAATAATAAAATCAAGATGTGGTCTAAGCCATGTTTCTTGAACACATATCACATCAGGTTTGATCTCTAAATCTATTACATATTTCTTAAACTCCTGACCGTTAGCAATAAAGCTTCTGGCATTCCACTGAACGATAACAAAAACCATAACTCTAATTATCATCATACTGAGACATTCCATCATTAGTATTATTAGGAGTCAACATATCAACAATCAGGGCGACAGTAACATCTGTTACTCCTAAAAACTCTGGTGCTGCTTCCACAATGATCTTCAACTTGGCAGTTCTTCTTTCCACAAACGCAGTCAGGTTTATAACCTTTCCAATGAAGGCTATAATGTCAATCTGATTAACTATTAAGGTGTCCTTTGAAACTATACATCTGTGAGAGCAAGATGTCTGAGTAGGTCTCGTATCTGTGTCTGGACCAACAAAAGCAACATTTCCTACAGTAGGTCCACTTATTCCAGGAGTAACCCTATTATCTCCATCATTCTGCCTAATAGTTCCACCAATCTGCCTTGCAGCCTCTGCATAAGAGACATTATGAGTTATTTTATATATTTGGGCCTCTCTAGCCTGTTTCTGCACCTGGCATCCACCAAATGCTGCACTGTGTTCCCCCCACAATTACAACATTTAACCTTGACATTGTTCCCACATTCACCATAATCATGTTCCCCTCCACACTTGGCACATATTTTCTTTCCTATGCACAAAGCCGCTACATGTCCCATTCTTTGGCATTTAAAACACCTTAATGGAGGTGGGACAAACTCTCTAACAGTGAAAGCCAGGAAGCCCATCTGTACTTTCTTAGGTACAACCTTCTCAAACATGAATAATACTGACAGGCTTTCACTTCTCTGCCCCTCTTTCTTACTGAACAGCCTTTTGGCTTCAACCACTATGCCCCCCTCTACATTTTATTTTATATCATCTATGGACATAGATCGTGGAACCCCAGAAATGACCCCTCAGCTTAGCCGAACCTCCAGGGACATGACTTGTGATTTTCTTCCCCATGAGAGTTTTCATTTTCAGAATATTCCCTTGCTGAACATGGTCAGCACAGAATGTTAACAGTCTACCAATGAACCGGGCTAATATTACTTCCTCTATCTCTTTCTTAACGGCATTGGTTAATCGAATAGGGTGTAGATGAGACCCCGTGGTCACATCAAACACGATTACAACTTTCCATTCCAAGATTACTTTTGTTTTTCACTACCTTCACCCTCTTCACGGTCTCTTCAATTTTTTCCTTTTCACCACAGACCATCCAGGTCCATGACTTTCATCATCCCCGCCCATACCATCAGAACTATCATCCATGTCGAGCACAGCTGTTGCTAAAACCGCCTACCACAATATAGAACGATGGATTCTATTTCGCTTCCTTGTTTGAAGTCGAACCTTGCGCGTCCAGGTTTACGCCTCCGCAGAAAGTTCCACTCTCCTTCTTCTGTGTCTGCTTCTTTCTGGAGTGCTGCAGGGACTGCAGGATTTTGTTCCAACTAGGCACCACACCTGACCAACTGAGCCAATTGATCAGTTCAATGATTGCCTAAATTCAACACATCTGGTCTTCCAGTTCGGTCTTCCAGTTCAGTTACTCCAGGACCAGGGTGGCATACCCCTGATTTGCACTAACCCTGTCTGTTTTGCCCCATAGTTGTGCACGAGTCGATTTTGTTGCTAAACAACCAACCTGTCTACAATGAATGGTGGCAACAGTCAGTGACCAAGTGTTCTATCCCCATAGCAACCAACTTGCATAGATGTACACATTTTTCACGCTGAGTGAGAAACTTTCTCAGTTCTTGTAAATGTGTCATTATATTGCTCTTCAAATCATTATCCAAAACATTTTTCTCAAACAGTAATGTGAAACTGTTATTGTAGTAGGGGTGCCTGTCTAGTATGAATATTTCTGCACTTTTAGAACTGTGACGTCACAAAGGTACATTTGACAGTAGTGGGCGGTCGGACGCATGCGCACAACGTGGAATTGGAAAATAATCTTGAACAGCTGTAGCTACCATTCTTATTATACCTCAGTGGTATCTACCAAAAATACTAGTAACTGTCTGCTGCTGTATTGTAGCCATCTGTAGGTTCTGTACAGGGAGTCGGAGGAAGAGAAATAGTTAGCTCGTGCCGCTAACTGGCACAATGTCACTGCAAAGGTGTCAAACTGATTGGGAAGAAATTGACCAAGAATATCAACAATTACAGGTAGGCCTATGTGAAGCCGGTTTGACAGCTAGCTAACTTTAGTGCGTGGCGTGGACTACCGCCAGTTCGCAAGAGAGGAGAATGATATAGCTACGATTGTCAACTCAGTTTGGTAGCTTGCTAGCTAGTTAGCTTGCTAGCTAGCCTGTTAGGTAGTTAGCTTTCTATCTAGCCTGCTAGTTAGCTTGCTAGCTAGCCTGCTAGATAGCTACCTTAGTTAACCCAGCATACTAACTTGACAAAAGGTTATCAGTTAACGTTATTATTAGACACAATATTTATTTTGTATTCAGGAACTTTCCAATATAATTATGCTGAACAAAAATATAAAAGTAACATGTAGTGTTGGTCCCATATAATGAGCTGAGCTGAAATAAAAGGTCCCAGAAATTTTCCATATGCACAGAAATATTTTTCTCAAATGTTGTGCACATTTGTTTACATCCCTGTTAGTGAGCATTTCTCCTTTGCCAAGACAATCCATCCACCTGACAGGTGTGGCATATCAAGAAGTTGATTTAACAGCATGATCATTATACAGGTGCACCTTGTGCTGGGGACAATAAAAGGCCACTCTAAAATGTGCAGTTTTGTCACACAACGCCACAGATGTTTCAAGTTTTGAGGGAGCGTACAATTGGTATGCTGACTGCAGGAATGGCCACCAGAGCTGTTGCCAGAGAATTTAATGTTCATGTCTCTACCAGAAGCCGCCTCCGTCATTTGGCAGTACGTCCAACCGGCCTCTCAACCTCAGACCACATGTATGGCGTTGTGTGGGCGAGCGGTTTGTTGAAGTTAACGTTGTGAACGGAGTTCCTCATGGGGCGATGGGGTTATGGTATGGGCAGGCATAAGCTACGGACATCGAACACAATTGCATTTTATCGATGGCAATTTGAATGCACAGAGATACCGTGACGAGATCCTGAGGCCCATTGTTGTGCCATTCATCCTCCGCCATCACCTCATGTTTCATCATGATAATGCACAGCCCCATGTCGCAAGGATCTGTACACAATTCCTGACAGCAGAAAATGTCCCAGTTCTTCCATGGCCTGCATACTCACCAGACATGTCACCCATTGAGTACGTTTTGGATGCTCTGGATCGACGTGTTCCAGTTCCTGCCAATATCCATCAACTTCGTACAGCCATAGAAGAGTGGGACAACATTCCACAGGCCACAAACAACAGCCAGATCAACTCTATGCGAAGGAGATGTCTCGCTGCATGAAGCAAAATGGTGGTCACACCAGATACTAACTGGTTTTCTGATCCACGCCCATACCTTTTTTTTTAAAGGTATCTGTGACCAACAGATGCATATCTGTATTCCCAATCCATAGATTAGGGCCTAATGAATTTATTTCAAATGACTGATTTTCTTATGAACTGTAACTCAGTAAAATCTTTGAAATTGTTGCGTTTTATATTTTTGTTCAGTATAGTATCCTGGGGTATGCAAGTCAGGTTTAATTGAATTGGTGCAGATTTAATATCTGGAAATTTGGCCAATGAATGGCAAATGTTAACTAGCAAGAATAGCCTGTTGAAGTAATAATAACCAGCAAGCAAACTTAAGTTGTTTTTTATAGTGAAATCCCCCAAATTGTAACCTTGGCGCAGTTAAATCAGTCAAACCAATGCAGGTATGTAGCAAATAAGGGTCACTTTACCCAGGGCGCAGTGGCTTCCTTCCCTCTCATTTCCTTATTGACACCACTTGAAAGGACAGGATAAGTTCAATGATATTGCAAATGCAATGCTGCCTTCCATCCACCTGTTATATTCTGCATGATCAAGGATTAGCCTCAAACTCTCCTTAGAAATGAAAGGGGGATCTGTCCTAGACCTGAACCTATCCATCACTGCATGCCTAAACTCTATCTTTGGTGAAAATAATTGCCGATTTCACAGACTATCTGCTGTCAACATATTTGAGTACTGGTGAACAATCTTCGCTTATTTATTTACATTTTATTTCTAGGAAACTCACAAAGTGTACAGACAGAAGCTCGATGAGCTCACCAACCTCCAGGCAACATGCAGCAGTGCCATTAGTAAACAGCGGAAGAGTCTAAAAGACCTCAGGCACAGTCTGTGCAAGTAAGTAGCCCACTCTTAGTGCTGGCAGTTGACACGGAATGGTTGTCTTATTTTCCATAACTAGGACCTGAGCATTTAATAGTTTAATTTTATTCTACAGGTGCACAAAAACAAGTGATGAGAAAGAAACGGAACTGATCAAAGACATCCAAATGCAAATGAAAGACAAAGAGAATTTCTTCTTTGATATGGAAGCCTATTTGCCTAAGAAGAATGGGTCAGTGTATTTGAGGACATGATTATTTAATTTTTACCATATGAGGGTGTCAAAGCATATTGTAAAATGTTGCAGTCTCTTTTCAGATTGTACTTAAATTTGGTCCTTGGCAATGTGAATGTAACACTTCTCAGCAACCAGGCAAAGTAAGTGTGTTGCTTCCGCTTTAACAAAATATCTGTATTCAGTCACATCCGCATGGTTTCTGCATATGACCCACTGTTTGTTCTATTCTCTGGAGCAGATTTGCCTATAAAGATGAATATGAGAAGTTCAAGCTTTTTATGACAATAATCTTGATGTTTGGGGCCATAACCTGTCTCTTTTTGCTCAATTACCGGTGAGTTGGTTACACTATGCCTTTGATGTTTCCTCGTAGCATCTTTTAATGTTTAATCAAAGCAAAGTAGTTGTAAATGTCTGTGTTTTGTTGTTGCAGTGTCACAGATGAAATCTTCAACTTCTTGCTGGTTTGGTACTACTGCACTTTGACCATAAGGGAAAGCATCCTCATGAGCAATGGGTCCCGGTGAGCTACTAAGCTTTTTATGTGACTATTTATTAAGTCAGTGAGATCAAAATACTATACTTGTGCCGACCTAGTTCTGCTTCTTAATTCTAATTCCACTCCATGTGTCCTTTCAGGATCAAAGGGTGGTGGGTCTCCCATCATTACGTCTCTACCTTCCTATCAGGTGTAATGCTTACCTGGTAAGTGCTTTTATTTATTTTCAACTTAAATTAATTGCTGTTGGTCAAAAGCAAAACATCTGTTGGCAGTTGCCCTCAAAGTTTTTCTGACAAGCAGTTTGATTGATAAATGTTATGCGATCACATGTATTGATTGGTTGCTCTGTCTGTTTCTTCTCAAAGGCCAGAGGGGTCCATGTATCAGATGTTCAGAAGTCAATTCCTTGCCTTCTCCATTTACCAGAGTAAGCATCTACTTTCTCTATTTATACTGAACAAAAATATAAACGCAACATGTAAAGTGTTGGTCCCATGTTTCATGAGCTGAAATAAAAGATTCCAGAAATCTTCCATACACACAAAGCTTATTTCTCTAAAATGTTGTGCACAAATTTGTTTACATCCCTATTAGTGTGCATTTCTCCTTTGCCAAGATAATCCATCCAGCTGACAGGTGTGGCATATCAGGAAGCTGATTAAACAGCATGATCATTACACAGGTGCACCTCATGCTGGGGACAATAAAGGCCAATCTAAAATGTGCAGTTTTTTCACACAACACAATGCCACATACAGTGGGGAGAACAAGTATTTGATACACTGCCGATTTTGCAGGTTTTCCTACTTACAAAGCATGTGGAGGTCTGTAATTTTTATCATAGGTACACTTCAACTGTGAGAGACGGAATCTAAAACAAAAATCCAGAAAATCACATTGTATGATTTTTAAGTAATTAATTTGCATTTTATTGCATGACATAAGTATTTGATACATCAGAAAAGCAGAACTTAATATTTGGTACAGAAACCTTTGTTTGCAATTACAGAGATCATACGTTTCCTGTAGGTCTTGACCAGGTTTGCACACACTGCAGCAGGGATTTTGGCCCACTCCTCCATACCTTCTCCAGATCCTTCAGGTTTCGGGGCTGTCGCTGGGCAATACAGACTTTCAGCTCCCTCCAAAGATTTTCTATTGGGTTCAGGTCTGGAGACTGGCTAGGCCACTCCAGGACCTTGAGATGCTTCTTACGGAGCCACTCCTTAGTTGCCCTGGCTGTGTGTTTTGGGTCGTTGTCATGCTGGAAGACCCAGCCACGACCCATCTTCAATGCTCTTACTGAGGGAAGGAGGTTGTTGGCCAAGATCTCGCGATACATGGCCCCATCCATCCTCCCCTCAATACGGTGCAGTCGTCCTGTCCCCTTTGCAGAAAAGCATCCCCAAAGAATGTTTCCACCTCCATGCTTCACGGTTGGGATGGTGTTCTTGGGGTTGTACTCATCCTTCTTCTTTCTCCAAACACGGCGAGTGGAGTTTAGACCAAAAAGCTCTATTTTTGTCTCATCAGACCACATGACCTTCTCCCATTCCTCCTCTGGATCATCCAGATGGTCATTGGAAAACTTCAGATGGGCCTGGACATGCGCTGGCTTGAGCAGGGGGACCGTGCGTGCGCTGCAGGATTTTAATCCATGATGGCGTAGTGTGTTACTAATGGTTTTCTTTGTGACTGTGGTCCCAGCTCTCTTCAGGTCATTGACCAGGTCCTGCCGTGTAGTTCTGGGCTGATCCCTCACCTTCCTCATGATCATTGATGCCCCACGAGGTGAGATCTTGCATGGAGCCCCAGACCGAGGGTGATTGACCGTCATCTTGAACTTCTTCCATTTTCTAATAATTGTGCCAACAGTTGTTGCCTTCTCACCAAGCTGCTTGCCTATTTTCCTGTAGCCCATCCCAGCCTTGTGCAGGTCTACAATTTTATCCCTGATGTCCTTACACAGCTCTCTGGTCTTGGCCATTGTGGAGAGGTTGGAGTCTGTTTGATTGAGTGTGTGGACAGGTGTCTTTCATACAGGTAACGAGTTCAAACAGGTGCAGTTAATACAGGTAATGAGTAGAGAACAGGAGGGCTTCTTAAAGAAAAACTAACAGGTCTGTGAGAGCTGGAATTCTTACTGGTTGGTAGGTGATCAAATACTTATGTCATGCAAATTAATTACTTAAATCATATAATGTGATTTTCTGGATTTTTGAAGTGTACCTATGATAAAAATTACAGACCTCTACATGCTTTGTAAGTAGGAAAACCTGCAAAATCGGCAGTGTATCAAATACTTGTTCTCCCCACTGTATGTCTCAAGTGTACAATTGGCATGCTGACTGCAGGAATGTCCACCAGAGCTGTTGCCAGAGAATTGAATGTTCCTTTCTCTACCATAAGCCGCCTCAACGTCATTTTAGAGAATTTGGCAGTACGTCCAACTGGCCTCACAACCGCAGACCACGTGTAATCACGTCAGCCCGGGACCCCCACATCCGGCTTCTTCACCTGCGGGATCGTCTGAGACCAGCCACCCGAACAGCTGATAAAACGGAGGAGTATTTCTGTCTGTAATAAAGCCCTTTTGTGGGGAAAACTCATTCTGATTGGCTAGGCCTGGCTCCCCAGTGGGTGGGCCTGGCACCCAAGTGGATGGGCCTATGCCCACCCATGGCTTCTCCCCTGCCCAGTCATGTGAAATCCATAGATTGGGGCCTACTGAATTTATTTCAATTGACTGATTTTCCTTACATGAACTGTAACTCAGTAAAATCATATACATTTTTGCATGTTGCGTTCATAGTTTTGTTCAGTGTGTGTGTATATATAGTAAAACATTCTAATAATAACCTGCACAATATAGCCTAAATTACTGTAATGTAAGTGCATGTCATTACTCATACATTATTGATTGTAAAAGTGTTTGATTTATTTATTCATCGGTATGTTTTTCAGGCTTTGTGCATTTTCTTCAATATTACTACCAAAGTGGCTGCTTATACCGGTTACGTGCTTTGGGGGAGAGCACTCAGTTGGACCTCACAGTGGGTAAGATGAGCTCCTTTGCAGTGAGGACTGTTTCTAAGGCTTTCTTATTGGTTATGACTTGGGAAACCCCCTGTGAGCTTTTGAACCATTTACAAGACATTTGTGTGTGTGTTAATAGTTGTTACAATGAAGTGGGCCACAAGCAACCCCATGACTGCAAAAATGGGACAAAGGTGGGGTTTTACCCTTGAGCAAGTTGGTTCTCTTCCATGTTGAATGAAATCCCAGTTGTCGGAATACCTTGCTTAACGTCATACACTCTTTGAATCTCAAGTTTTCCCTTCTACTGCACAACATTTTAATTATGATAGAAAAATGTATTTCTTGCTGACCAGAGTGAGCTGATGGGGAACATCTCGCAATCAGTTTGCAGCTGCCCGTTGAACAGAGTATTGGTTCTGACATACAGAATGTTTAGCTCTGTTTTTGGTATAGCTTACTGTACTCTCCTTACCATGATGTGTCTAGTGATTAACCTGTACCCCTGACAAAGCTAGTTGAACTGGATGTTAACATGCTGTCTTTCTGTAGTTTGTGCCTTACTGAATGTTAATTTCCCACCTTAAGTAATGTATGTGTCTGTTTTGCAGAGGGGTTTCAGTCATGGATGTGGAGAGGACTCACCTTCCTCTTGCCATTTCTGTTTTTCGGCCATGTAAGTCAAACACAGGACTACCACACAGCTCCTAAGTATGGGCTTAGTTTAGTTTAGAGGTTGTTTTACATTTATTCCACCTTTCTACTACTTTCAACTCAAGACATTGGAGTATCAGGCTTAATCTTTTCTCAACAGTGAGGAACTTAAACACAATTGTATGAAATGGTCATAAATGGTCATCCAGGGAGGAGGTCAGGTTAGTCTGGGTGTATGCCAGCGTGTTTCACACAGACTGGGATGAGAGTGGGGTGGGGAGACGGTCAACTGGAAGTAAAGATGGTATTGCAAAATCTGTCACTATTGTAAATGATAGTCTTGTCCAACATGATTGCAAAGCTTTAATTTTGTTCCTTATTCCAGTAAATAAGATGGTGATTTTGGCGGTTTATACATTTACATGTACACACTCCAGGGCAAGCTACCATGCTTGTGTGCTTGAATAAGGTTTTAGGTCTTGGACTGAGCTTTTCTCTCTCTCCAATCCCCTTCACAGTTCTGGCAGCTGTACAATGCTATGACTCTGTTTCGGTTGGCAGGACATGAAGACTGTAAAGAGTGGCAGGTAAGGACAGAAATACTACCCTACAATCTCCATAAAATCCCTTGTTTTTAAATACAATACAGTACAACATGTCTCTACTTCCAGCCCCTGTCTTGTGCAAGCTCGTCTAGAATTTTCTTGTAACCTATGCTCATTACAAGACTACTCTCTGACGCTGGAAGTTAAACTTTGTAGTCATGACATCTAGTATAATGACATCACATGTCATTCCTAATGCTTTTGTTTGTATCTTTCAGGTATTTATGTTGGCACTGACATTTCTTGTCCTATTCCTGGGGAATTTTCTCACCACATTGAAAGTTGTTCACCAAAAGATCCAGGAAAACCCAGAAAAGGTGCAAAAGCAGGAGTGAATGAGTCTGACTACAGCTCATACCTCCAAGTGGCCAGTAACCATGAAGCAAAATGGCACTTTGACACGCACAACCGATGGAAAGATTGACTGCAGAGGCTTTGTGCCAGGAAAAGACAGAGCAGAGAGACCAATGTGTCTCGGACGTTGATGACAGCTGCAACATTAACCAATAATCTTGGCTGAATGTGCTTTTGTTTCCGATAACTTGTCATTGTCCTTGCTACACGTGCAATCACAACACAGAGCAGCTTTCGTCTGGCAGATGAACCACTGCGATCCTGGACCGTTTGAGGCTTGATCCTTTTAGATTTAGAGTGAGTGGACAGACTGATTAATTATGTTCTTCAAACTATATGCAACTCAACAAAGACAGGTAACATTAGGTCAGGGTTTCCCAAACTTGGTTCTGGGCCCCCACGGGTGCACATTTTAGTTTTTGCCATAGCACTACAAAGCTGAATCAAATAATCAAAGCTTGATGATGAATTGGTTATTTGAGTCAGCTGTGTAGTGCTAGGACAAAAAACTAAATGTGCACCCAGGGGGGTGGCCCAGGACTGAGTTTGGGAAACCCTGCATTAGGTCATGAGAAAGGTGAGTTTACCTACAAAGTATATGTACTGTGTGGTCATGTCACTACTTCACACAGCTGTTATCGGTATGGCATTCAAATATGTCCAGGGCACAGCCATTTCTTCACTGTTATTTGTAAGTGTCTGTTGTTTTGATATGTTTTTCAGTAAAGATGCATTCAACTATTTATTTCTCCCCGCAGTGCTGTTAAAAAGTAAACCTGTTTGCTTATCTCTGGATATTGACATGTCTACGTGTCCATATTATATCAAGTAAAGCCTGCTTCTTATTTCAGCAAGGTACCAGCCAGGACTTAACTGATCATAGACATTTACACATTTTAACAGCAGCGGTTTACTACCATTGTTTGGGTTGATTTGGTAACCATAAATTACACAGGCGTTCTATTTTAAAATAATGAATATATTAATGATACTGACCAAGTTTGAGTATAAAAGGATTTCTCTTCCTTCTGTAATGGTCTGCACCTTGTTAATCTGAGTGCCTGGTGGTGCAACTTTTCAGATAGTGGATTCGGCATAGAGACAAAAGTCCATATTTTTTAAAATCCTGTAATCTGGTTCAAAATGATAACCCTTTTATTTAATTATTATTTGAGAGACTTGTCCAATTCAGGTTGTGCAAGAAGATGCTGGTTGTTTGAGTTTTGCTGCTATGAGCACTGGTACTGTGAACAAATGATTGGCAATAATGTCTCAAGCACGGATGTGCTGGAGTGATCAAGTGTATATAACTCTGCTGAGATACAATGTATGTATGTATAGTAACGCGTCAACTGATCTATGTACAAATCTCAAGAGCTTTTGTACCCATTTTAAGCATTATTTAATTTTGAACTGTATTATTAGATGTGCATTTGAAAAAATGGATTGGTCTGAACAACGTTAGTACTTAGTGACAGGGCTTTCTAAATGCCTTATCTCTCCTTGTAGCCTGTCACAATTGCGTGATGTATGTTTTTGTTCCATTTGGAATCAAGTGTTATGTTATTGACAAAATATAAGGTCTTGGACATTAGTCTTGTTTTCATTTTAAAAATCCATTATGCTCTTGAAGGGAACCACTATTTTCTTTACAAAAGCTATAGCATGTTATTAGACCAAAATGTTAAATTCAGTCTAACGTCAAAGCTGCCACAATAGATCCTATTTCCTCAAGTATTGTGAGTTTGGTTTAATGTTGATGTCATGGATTGTCCCATCATAAGACTAACTTGTGCCTGAACGTACACCTGTAACAAGAGACACTGGATAAAATAATGTAATTTATGCTGTTTCTTACTGGCTGGAAAACAAATAAAACACATCTGACTCAAAGATTGTGTCTTTTCATTACGTTTAGTTGTGGCAGTTGATTGAGTAATTGATTGGGCTGTTGATTGTTATTGTTATTTTCAACATATGACTTATGTTAATGTTGAATCAGCTTTGCATGATGGTAAGAGGGAACAAACTTGTCAGAGCTCCCGAGTGGCGCAGCGGTCTAAGGCACTGCATTTCAGTGCTAGAGGCGTCACTACAGACCCTGGTTCGATTCCAGGCTGTATCACAATCTGGCCGTGATTGGGAGTCCCATAGGGTGGCGCAAAATTGGCCCAGTGTCATCTGGGTTTGGTCGTCATTGTAAATAATAATTTGTTCTTAACTGACTTGCCTAGTTAAATAAAGGTCAAAAATGGTTTACATACATGGATATATGGCCCTGTGTAATGTAATTTTACAACTAGCAAATCATGTAATGTGTTTCTTTGCTAAACATATATTTATCAATCAGCATTCCCATTTTATTCAGTTGTCTGTCTTAACTAGGAAACACTGCCTTATCTGTTTTTTCATAGCAACCACCACTAGTGGGCACTGTCATTTAACTTAGTGAACTGCAATAAATATTTGTCCAGACTCCAGCTTTGAAAGGAGCTAATTTCTATCAGCTTTCAACCACAGTAGTACATTGAAAATTGTCCTGACAATGTAAAAGGTGCAGCATCACATTGTATTCAGAAGATGGTGCACTGTTTACCAACATGCTTAGTAAGCACGGTCACTGATTAGTACTTATTATCCTCTGCAGAAAGGGTAAGCCGCTTACATGAACATGTGTAATAGGGATATTTTCCATGAGTAGGTATCAACTAACAGAAGACTTCCTGAAACAAATCGTGCCAGGTGATAGTGATCAGTGGGCCAGAGCCGTGATTGTATCAAGGAAGAGTTATTGAAGGTAACAGTACAGTAAGTAGGTCAGTGCATTGTCCTAGAAATGGAACTGCTACAAACATTTCTTTACAATCAACCACTCAATGATAGTGAGAGATGTTAAAAAAATAAACTAATAAATCACAGAAGGCCAGCAATAGGCATAACAAATCCTTTATAAAAGTAAAAATAGCAATTCAGTAATTGATAAAAAGATATTTGAAAAAAGTATATGAAGCACAATCTCACTTTGCTTTTATATGCCAATTTACACCCTGGTCTAATGTGGAAATATCCATTAACAAAACCACTCTAGAATCCCTGCATAGACCTTGCGCCCACAGAACTAGCAGGAATTCCATCTCTGCCCTAGAAGATCTTACCAGACATTAGTTCAGTGTTCAATATCATTGTCCAGATCCCAAAGGCATGAGTTGGCTGGGGATGGAACAGGCTCTTGTTGAAATTGAATTAGGATGACCCAGGATGTGGCAAGCAGTTGTTTATAAAAGCCAAGCAGCAGATTGTGTAGCTTTGGCATGGAAGACCAGAGGACAGGGTGTCCCGTTGTGTCAATGGACTTCAAGCCTTTCACTAGAATGAGGTCACAGGACGACACAATGCCTCTTCTTCGTACGGTGTCTTGCTCTGCGGCTGGATGCCAGTGCTTTTTTGGTGGCATCTCTGAAAACATCCTCTACGTTCTCCCGGTATTTGGCTGAACATTCCAGATAAAGCTCAGCACTCATATGCCGCCTTGTCTCCTCACCCTGTGGAACCAAACAAAGAGCATTCACTGGATGACAGGGAGTACTAGATCAGAATTGGAGACTGGTACACAGGGCAAATCAGAGAAGGTTTTCTAGGATCAAGCATTTGAAGGCCATGATCCATAATTCAAATGAAATGGTTAAAGTCAAAGCACCACAACTCAAGTTATGTGTATAAACCCTGTCATCAGGAGGACAAGTTGATCCTCACCTGTGTGTAAGTGATAGGAGCCTGGTCCATGGCTTTGAGTCTCCTGGTACGCTCCTTATCCTTCCTCAGGTCAGTCTTACAGCCAATCAGAATGACAGGAACATCGCGACAGAAGTGGTTAACTTCCGGGTACCACTGCGTGAGACAGCAGAACACAATAGTGAATGTAGAGGTCGGAGGTCAAGGAAGGAAGGAGCTCAAACTGTCACATTGGGATTACACTCGGGATCATGGTGTTTGCACTGTTTTCATGTTTTCATTGACTGGACCCATGAACAACTAGCAATAAGGTTTATCAATGACCCAACGGAGGAAACAGATACTTATAAAATAGCAGACAAAAATACTACATTGACAGGTTGTTTGGTTTGGCTCTACGTCCACCCAGGTATCGGTTCTACAAGTAGGCGTGTTTTATTTTGTATTTACCACCCCCCCCTCCCTTGCTGTAATGTTTTGTGCTTACAAAGTCTCACTCTGACTGCATTCCCCTTGATTTATTCACATGGTTTGCATTCATGGCTCTGTATTGACATTTCCCTGCTCATTGAGGGAGGCTTCCAGCACAGTCCTGTTTGTTTTTCAGGCCAAGCCACTGGGGTTAAAGTTCATGTGCTCTGGTTGAGTCACAAGTAGCGAGCAAAGTCAGAAGAATGTACATGTTCATATCAAAGTCAATCTCCAACAATCATTCATCAAACTAAATTCCTGCCTAGACGTGACATCTAACAACTGATAAGCGGTGAACTCGCAATCCCTTTCCCACCTCTGTGGTGACTAATGTTGTGCTTGTTTGTACAGACAATACTCACTAGATCTATTATGCACTGTACTGGGATCGTAGCAAAACATGCAGGCCCTTAAATGTGGTTAGCTGCTGTGGTTAGCTGCTTACTTAGCATTCATTGGCTGTTGTTGGGCAGAATATTAATGTCATTGGCTGTCACTGGATAATGTCACATCGTAGATGAATCATGATCAATGAGCTTACCTTGATTAAGACATTTTCAAAACTGGTGGGGTTGGTCACGTCATAACAAACTAACACCAGGTTGGCATCCTGGTAGGAGAGTGGCCTCAAACGATCGTAATCATCTTGGCCTGAAGAAATTGACATACAAATACACACTCAATGTGAAGTGTTTGGTGAACTTATAGAAAGAAAATAGAGACCATTTTTTCTTCTTCTAACAACCTGTAGTATGGAATGAGTTGATACTGAACCATGCTGGGGGTGAGTTATAAAACCACATCCTGGCTTCAACTTCCTTTTCCTGTCAAATAAAGTGGCTGTTCCGGCAGTTAGGCTAAGATAAGCCGATGACGCACAGTGGAGACACTGTACTATGACATGTGATAGGTTGTCCTTGGAAACACCAAAATCCACCCCCAACATAGTAAGTAGATCATTCTGCCACTGTTATTAGTCAATACGTGAAATTTACATTTCTAGAGGGGAGTGGTTTGCATTATCCAGTATTGATAGAGAACAAGTATAAAGTAATTTCTGAAACTAACTTCTCAGGAAGCCAAGTATTCCACTAGTCTGGATAAAACCATAAAATGCACAGTGTACAAAACATTAGGAACACCTTCCTAATATTGAGTTGCACCCCCTTTTGCCCTCAGAACAGCCTCAATTTGTTGGGGGCATAGACTCTACAAGGTGTCGAATGCCTTCCACAGGGATGCTGGCCCATGTTGACTCCAATGCTTCCCACAGTTGTGTCAAGTTGGCTGGATGTCCTTTGGGTGGTGGACCATTCTTGATACACACGGGAAACTGTTGAGTGTGAAAAACCCAGCAGTGTTGCAGTTCTTGACACACTCAAACCGGTGTGCCTGGCACCTACTACCATACCCCGTTAAAAGAGATTTAAATATTTTGTCTTGCCCATTCACCCTCTGAATGGTACACATACACAATCCATGTCTCAAGACTTTAAAATCCTTCTTTAACCTGTCTCCTCCCCTTCATCTACACTGATTGAAGTGGATTTAACATGTGACATCAGTAAGGGATCATAGTTTTTGGAACCATTTCCTTGTTTGACCACTAGGTTTTATGGGTAATATGACTCATACTGTGGTACTCTATTTATGATTTACAATATCCATAACAAGGAGCTGAAAAACTAGAAAATCGAGTAAACAATTCAACAGAATAAAGTTATTATTTAGAAGCTAGTGCCACGTAAATGACAAAATTAAGATTTTCAATTCAATATCTAGCCGTTTGAGCTGATAGTCTGAGCTTTCGTTGACAATGTCTTGTTGAAAGTATCGAAGAACCACTCAGATGCAAATACAGCTACAAACATAATTTCTATAGATGAGCCTCCACCACATCCTCTGTCACAGCAGCTTTCTGCAACACTGCTGCTTGTCATTGCATCAGTGCTCTGAGAGGGCAAGGTGTAATATTTAGTGAGATGTGTCATACTCATAGTTTACAAAAACAATGTAATTGGGGGGTGGTGGGTGGGTTAGTATAAAAATGTGTACAATTGTTATTAACTACAAAGTCAGACAGTAAATCTGCAATACTCCATTATGACATTTCAACGCAACACATTGCTTGGAGAAAAAGTTTCCAGTCATAGAGATGGTCATAAGACACTAGTCCCATGTCTGTTTTGACGGTTTATTCTCCAGAAAACAAGAGGATAAATAAGTCACAATATTTTTTTTCACAGATGGCTATATTAGTTTCTAATTGAAAGCATTTTAGAATCTCTGTTCTGAACCCAATGTTTGGATTGCATTGACCTCTGACACAATTATATCCTTCTATCTAGCTTTATGTTCCACCTAGCTGATCAAAGATATGCTACCAGAATACCTCTGCTCAAGCATGACAGGCAAGGTGACTCCACACCCACAGAACAATGATCCACACCCTACATACCTGCCCATTGTGCAGGAACAGAACCCTCTTCTTGATCTATAGATACTTAATAATGATTATGTTGGATAGGGGACCTTACCAGCTGTGTCATAGAGGTTGAGCCGAATCTCTTTCCCTCCATACGTGACTGTGGTGACATATTTCTCAAACACAGACGGAGCATACTTCTGTTTAACAGAAATGACAAAGGGAGAAAGAAATTCAGTATTTCAATCATTTTGAATTTCATCAACGGGATACTGTAAATGCACACAATTGAGGCAATTTAATTAAACCAAAACTGGATAAAGTGCCATAGATCTTATATACATGTAATGTTCTGTCTAGGAGAATAACTTCATTATGTCTCCCGAGTGGCACAGTGGTCTAAGCTGTGGCACAGTGGTCTAAGCTGTGCCACTAGAGATCCTGGTTCGAATCCAGACCCATGGGGCAGCGCACAATTGGCCCAGCGTTGTCCAGGGTAGGGGAGGGAATGGCTGGCAGGGATGTAGCTCAGTTGGTAGAGCATGGTGTTTGCAACGCCAGGGTTGTGGGTTTGATTCCCACAGGGGGCCAGTATGAAAAATTTAATAAATGTATGCAAGTTGCTCTGGATAAGAGCATCTGCTAAATGACTAAAATGTAATTATGTTACAAATCATTATCTTTGGAGAAGGAAGCCTATATTTAGAATAGTGTTACTTATTTGTGCTAACTTACCATTACTTTGTTTGGGAGAGTTAATGCAGTGAAAAATGAATATATTTGCATCTAAATTGTTTAATTCAAAAGGTTGTTTATACTGGAACGGACAGTGTTGGTATTACAGTCTGAACTTGAATAATGAACTAAGCATAAATCTGCTGACCAAAACTTAAAATAATGGAGATGGCGATAAAATAACTTGTTTTATTTGTATTAAGAAATAAGTTAGTAAGATGAATGATATAAACAATATACTTTTACATTCATTTCATGATAGAGTGGAGATAATCATTAGGCTACTTTCATGACAGGAACAAAACTCTGAGTATGGCTTGGTGATGTCACCCTCAAAAGGGCACAAATTAATAATGACTGAATATTATTTTTATTTTATTTTTAAGGGTGATTATCTTAATCTAAAACAATTATGTTCATGAACACACTTACTTCCTTATTCTAATAAGCAAACATTTCAAGAGATGCCACTAGATGCCATGCTGTCCTTACCTCTGGAAAGTCTCCTTTGGCATACACCATTAGAAGGGATGTTTTCCCACATCCCCCATCACCCACAATAACAATTTTTAGTTCTTCTCCCTTCTTAGCGTTGCCATTGCTAGTCACAGTACCGTTCTGTGTCATATCTCCTTTGTAGAGTCCAACAGGTCGCAGTCAGACAGAAGTCAGGATAAAGTCAGTCCCTCCCAACTGAGTCTGAACACATGTCAGTTCTACCCAATGTAATTCATAAAGAGAACCTGAGCCTGGCTAAGTGAGAAGAATGAGTGTCAACAAGAGGAACACACCAAGCTCAGGCTCATCTTAAACAGGTGTCTCACTCTGTTCACCACTTAATGGTCCTTTCCAACTTCAGTTATTTCCTAGTGACCCTGAACACTCTTCTCTTCCTCATCAATTTGTTCACTGGAAGCGTCTCTGTGGTAAAAGCTCAGTCACGCAATAGAGTCAGTCTACAGCTGCTCGCTCTCTCTCCCTCCTGCTCTGTAGTCATCTGGCCTGTCCCATCACATCGATGGGCGGGGGCTGAGGCTCACACTGAGGCACTGCCTCTATTTAGAAAGGTGTGTTGAATGTGCTACAGCAGAGTTCTGTGCCGTCCCCCTCTGTGCCCTCCCCCTCACTCTCATAGTAGAAACCAATAATGATCAGTGGTATCTGAAGTATTTGTGCTCTGGGATATAGAGAGCTATAATTGAGTGGCCTCGGATGAAGATAGTGGGGTTAGCTGGGGTCAGGATCACACACAGGCCTAGTAACATTTGACTTGACCTAGTAACCTGTGCCTATACCTTGAGAACACTCTTATTTTATACTGAACAAAAATATAAATGCAACATGCAACAATTTCAAAGGTTTTACTGAGTTACAGTTCATATGGAAATCAGTCAATTGAAATAAATAAATTAGGCCCTAATCTATTGATTTCACATGACTGGGAATACAGATATGCATCTGTTGGTCACAGATCCTTGTGACATTGGGCCATGCATTATCATGCTGAAACATGAGGTGATGGTGGCGGATGAATGGCACGACAATGGGCCTCAGGATCTCGTCACGGTATCTCTGTGCATTCAAATTGCCATCGATAAAATGCAATTGTGTTCATCGTCCATAGCTTATGCCTGCCCATACCATAACCCCACTGCCACCATGGGGCACTCTGTTAACAACGTTGACATCAGCAAACCGCTCGCCCACATGACACCATACACGCTGTCTGCCATCTGCCCGGTACAGTTGAAACCGGGATTCATCTGTGAAGAGCACACTTCTCCAGCGTGCCAGTGGCCATCGAATGTGAGTATTTGCCCACTGAAGTTGGTTATGACGCCAAACTGCAGTCCGGTCAAGACCCTGGTGAGTACAACGAGCACGCAGATGAGCTTCCCTGAGACGGTTTCTGACAGTTTGTGTAGAAGTTCTTCGGTTGTGCAAACCCACAGTTTCATCAGCTGTCTGGGTGGCTGGTCTCAGACGATCCCACAGGAAGCCGGATGGGGAGGACCTGGGCTGGCGTAGTTACGCGTGGTCTGTGGTTGTGAGGCCAGTTGGACATACTCCAACAACTCTAAAACGACGGAGGCGGCTTATGGAAAAAAAGTAAACATTAAATTCTCTGGCAACAGCTCTGGTGGACATTCCTGCAGTCAGCATGCCAATTGCACGCTCCTTCAAAACCCCAGCACAAGGTGCACCTGTGTAATGATCATGCTGTTTAATAAGCTTCTTGATATGCCACACCTGTCAGGTGGATGGATTATCTTGGCAAAGGAGAAATGCTCACTAATAGCGATGTAAACTAATTTGTGCATTACATTTGAGAGAAATAAGCTTTTTGTGCGTATGGAAAATGTTGGGGATATATTAGTTCAGCTCATGAAACATTGGACCAACACTTTACATGTTGCATTTATATATTTTTTCAGTGTAGTTAGAGATATGTAATTTACCACCATGGAAGAAAAAGCTCTTCTTTGTGTTGATTCATACAGTATATCACCCTGTGTGGTTCTAGCCTGGGTGCCAGTCAGTTTTGCTAACATTCCATGAATTGTATTCCATGTTATATGCCAAAGTTTAGCATGACAGGAGTGGCAAGGAGTGAATGATAGCTAAACAGACTGGTTCCGCTGAGCCCCATTGAAATTATACTGAAAATGTGACCACTAAACCACTAGTAAGTTGAGCACTAAATCATATTTTTTCTTAGAGTAAAGCTACAATGTATTTTAAAATCATAATCTCTGAGTCTTCTTAATTGTGTCAGTTATCACAACCATCAATGTCAAAAACTCAAAGAAAGCATAACAGACAACTGATTAATTTATATTTATTTGCAGTTTAAATGTATATTTCAATGAACATTTCAAAAGAGCAAGTACATTTGAAACACAATCTCTTTAAAAAAGGTAGCAGGATAACAATGATATTTCAATTCACATTTAATAAGAAGAAAAATAAAAAATATATATATATTGAACCTTTATTTAACCAGGTAAGCCAGTTGAGAACATGTTCTCATTTACAACTGCGACCTGGCCAAGATAAAGCAAAGCAGTGCGATAAAAACAACAACACAGAGTTACATATGGGGTAAAACAAAAAAGTCAAAAATACAACAGAAAATATATATACAGTGTGTTCAAATGTAGCAAGTTATGGAGGTAAGGCAATAAATAGGCCATAGTGCAAAATAATTACAATTAGTATTAACACTGGAATGATAGATGTGCAAGAGATGATGTGCAAATAGAGATACTGGGGTGCAAATGAGCAAAATAAATAACAATATGGGGATGAGGTAGTTGGGTGGGCTAATTTCAGATGGGCAGATAGCCTACCATTGGGTTGTTTTTTATGTAAACGTTTAAAAATGTATAATTGTATGTAACACTCAACCTATTGCTTCATTGCCACCTACAGGAATGTCACCAAAGGGAATATTTCAAGTAGGTTTGTCATGTAGACTTCCCGACATACAAATGTGTGTGAAAAGCAATATGGAGAGAAAAACCGAATAAAACATATATTTAGTTTGGATAGCATATACAGTTTGTGGCAAAATAAATACAGACCCAGAGAAAATAAAAGCAAAATACACACAATAGGTCTATGTACATTTCTATCAGCATATTTTTCTAACCTAAATAACAGATCAACGAATCATGGAACAACGAATGGGATTTATGTGAAGTGGAATGTTAGCCTATATGAATAATAGCGTTGGCTTTTCTGTTATTGCGTCAATATCAATAAACTTTCAATATTCACAATAGATTGGAGTAAAATAATGTTTAAAATCCTAGTAGGCCACTATTGCCTCTCTCCTGTCCATTTCGGACTGTGTGCGATTGGTCACGCTGTAACAGTGGAGGCCAAGCTCGAAGACATGTTGACAGCCTCCACAGAACGATTACAACATTAATTACATGGACCATTGTGATTTGGATAGTGTTGGATGGAAATCAATTGTTTATGCAACAAAATGTAAATCTTAAAATGTGATCTTTATTTTCCTGTAACATACTTAAATCACAATTCATGAGCTAAAATGCCGTCTTGCATCCAACAGAAATCAACGGAACTCCTACTATTTTGATAATTGAAAAACCCTGCCTATAATATTTTCTATTTCTGTGGGACTGAAAACCAGATTAGAAAGGCCAAAATGCATGCGATTATAAAAAGACGTGTTGAAATTGCCGATTTCAATGTTAGTGGGCCAATAGATTTTGTAACATTTAACAGTGGGTTTTTTTTTAAATGGGAGATTATCTAAATTACCCCTGGTCGATTTATTTTTAGGTCAATTGTATTTTGTCTATAAGTTACAGGCTTTAATTGTTGGTTGAATAATGTTTAAATTAATTATTCTAAATTAATTACTCAAAAGGGTTTCGGAGTTGGCTATCAAATGTGCAGAAGCTCAAATTGTTATATTTATACAAATACATCCTGACAAAAACCCTATCAAAAACAGCTGCATAAATTAACTTAAAACCAAATAAATATAAAACGAATTTAGATATGCTGTGTTTGAAAACACTAATCACTGACTGTTTTTTAAAGGCCTAAATAGCATGCCTGCATAGAACAGCTTGACATACAAGGGTCCGAGTATAGGCAAATAAATATACCCTACTGTGCTGCGAGCAGTCGTTGGTCTTCTGCCCATTCCCTTTTTTCTGGGTGTGCTTTAATGTGTTCCTTCTCTGCTTGCGTAATAACAGCTGGTCGGTTTTGCCATACAAAAAGCCTATATACCATGATTCAGTCGGATTTAACAGTGCTCTGCCGGTCATATAATATGAGACATTTGGGTAACACTTTTTATTTTTAACATTACTTCCACTCTAGCTGCTTCAATAATAGCAAAAACAAGGTCTTCGATCATTTGAGCACTGAAAGGGAGCGGATGGAATGGCCTGCATGTTCTATTCCATAATGCATGGTTCTACTCTCTACAAGAAAGGCCCATCGACTGCTGGTATCTGGCATGCCCAACGCGTCTATTTTGTTTTCAGAGGGTGTAAACAGCAGTTTGTTGTATGCCTGGTTTACAGCGTTGCATGGAGCCTCGTGACCTTATGGTTCGACACTTTTTACCCTTGGCCATTTACGCAGCAATTGTGCAATAGGAATTGAACCCTGCCTCGAAAAACAAGCTCCTCTACAGTTGACTAAAACATTTCCGACATGTAGACTATTTCTCTGTTTCTGAAACATAACAATGAGGTTGTTTAGCCGCTGTGTTGATCATGCGATTAAGATAGATCAACATAATCCATGGCATATGCATAGCAACTGTAACCATTAGAGTTCAACTGGAGACACTTTAATACTCAGGAAAACACACATACAGTGCACATACACAGGTTTGTTCCTATTTTTCTCCTTTACCTATAGGATGGATTACATCTTGCTTGTATGACATCTCCTAAAATCTTCTTGAGTAGCTGATCAACACCTCGAAATACAACATCGAATCATTATCTTGAAGGGGAGACAGAGTACGAAGAAGTCTGAAATCCCCTTTGAGTATCCTGAAAGAAATACAGCACTATGTTCGAAATGGTTTCTTCTGACCTTATATGGCTGTGTGGGTGCAGTTCTATCATACGCTTGGCAAGCGGCCAGATCCTCAGATTACTTATGTTTGCCAAACTCGTTTTAGGTCTGTCAACTACAGCCCTGCAACGAGACGACTGGACTGAATGTGCCATGTTTCTCTGCTCTGTCGTTTCAATTCTGCTGTAGACTACACTTTTACACACATACACCAGTTGAAGTCATATTTCTTGCGCACCATTGATACATTTCCAGTATGCAAACAGGGACCTGTGTGTGGGACTGCAGTTCTTTTTTGCGAATGACTACCTCGCCCAGCAATGGCGCAGCAACTTAACCAGCACACAGTTATCTCCTTTGTCTGTGAAGAAGCCATTTTGAAATTGAGAACAGAACAGCAGAGACAGAAGCCATTAAAACGAAAGTACATATGAAAGGTCGTTTTTGGACAAGGGGGAGCATTGAGAGGTCTACCAGATTCATTTTACCCCTAAAATCATTTGTGTTCCCAATAAGATATCTTTCTCTTGGATTACATGTTTTAATTAACTGTAAGTTTATTATTAGCATCTAATTCCAACAACATTTCACAATTTGTACAGTTTAATTTTACAATATAATAGTTGTTAATGAGATCAATTTAGGTAAATCCCTCCTTGGTGAACCTGTCCTAAAACAATCAAATGTAACATTACTGTTGTTTAGAACTAATGCATTGAGACAGCTCAAAAGCCATTACCTTTAAAATGACAAGATTTCCATGGCAGTAGGTTATGTCGTTTAGGTTTATTTGTGATATCTTCAAATTCGAGAGTGGGGGATTTGACTGCAATCCTGTCTTCAGGAAGAGAGAGGGGAGCTGGTTTGCATACTGCTCTAACTGATGCTGCTTGAAGATTTTCAGCATTTGCTATTCGTTGGTCAAATAGCAGTCAAGACTAAGTCAAAATCCTTCAAGATAAATAGATTTGGGCTAATTGTTTTCTTCCTTTTTAGGAGTTGCATCCCCACCCATCCTTTAAACCACTATAAGAGGATCCGAAGATGGGAATGAAAACGTTCAATTTCCCCCTGCATTTAGGCCTGATAAATGTATTTCCTCACAATGTTAAGGTAAATATTTTCATTAGAGTTTCATTTTTCATCTGCTTCCAGTTTGAGTCAATATCTTTGTGGTGAGCCTTTGAGGATACCAATAAGTGTAGGATTGTGTCTGGAATTCTACAGAAATGTAAATATTCCCATGAAGCAACATCAGGTACATTTTACCCTCACATTCGTTCTGTCTAATGTCAAAATGTATAGCCTACTGCTTACTATGAGCTATTACAAAACATGCATAATTTGACAAATGTAGTGCATGAGCCATCATTTGAAAGAAGAATACTTACTAACCTTCATGGTATTAAACGTCTCTGTTGTGTAACTAGATGGTGTACCATGTGAAAGATGAGAAGCAACCATTCTTGAATGTAGAACAAGTAAAGGGGGTTAGTTGAGTACCAACAGCCAATTTCCAGTTATAAATGATTCAGCATTTTTGCTAAAGGCCATTTGCTCTCTGGCCTGCTTTATGTGCTGACATTAGAGGAGCAAATATAATTAGCCTCTGATGGATATAGTTAAAACAGTATGAAAATGAATGTATTGAAGAGAGTTGGCAATTCTACTGACACCATTACTCCCAAATGATCAATGTATGATAGAAGTCAATAAAAATAACAGAATAGTGATACTTTAATAACAGTAACTGCCCATTTCCTACATATACAAAAGGTAATAAAATTTTACTTACACATGCTATAATCATACATGGCCATTTACAGTGCAATGTCAACAAAATGCCATTATACAATTGTATTATACATTTACTGTGCTTCTCTTCATAACAACTTCAAACTACAAGCTGTTTATTCACAATACTTTTTTCTTTTTACTTTAGAATCCAAAATAATTTTATATGGGTGTGCCATGACCTAGTTAGGACAAAGATGGATTCCAGGCAGAGGAGAAAAAGGTTAAAAATGTCAAAGGGATAACATCCAGTATTTTATCTTCCTTCTTCTCCATCCTGTCAATGGGGAATCATTGTTATTTATCATAGTCCAGAAAGAGATGAGGAAATAAAGTATAAGATCCCTTTTGAAACAAAGGAAACCCATATTGGCCATTGAGTCCCATTTCAGGAAAATGGCTGCTGAGAGCGCGCCCAGCCCCCTCTCTCTGCTCTCTGTTGAAAGATTCCTCAGCCGTGCCTCTAATAGCAGAAGCTAAAATGGTGCTTCGCTCTGATTGGCCGGTGGAACTGCTACTGTTAACCAGCCAATTGCCCAAGCACTGTAAAATACCAAGCAGTGGATGGCACATCTCCTCACCCAAACGTAACACAAAATATCAAAAAGTCCCTTAAACAGATTAATAATGCAAACCGTGTGTCGATTAAAATAAACAGTTACTTTAAAATCGACCCATATTTGGCCTTTTAATATTATAAGGGTATTACAGACAATATGCGCGTATAGGTTATAATGTAGGCCTAGTCTATAGTCTCAAAATATATTTGAGTTATGTTTTATTTATGTAAAATAGTGTAAACACACCCAACATTTTTCCTGCGAAGTTGCCCATAAGCACAGCTCTAGGGTCAGGTTTAATATCCTAAGGCTAACATTTTCAATCAGGAATTAAAACGTAATACTGACCCTAGATCTGTGCTTAGACAGAACTTGCATCGACCAATGTCCATCTTGTGTTTGCTGTTTGAGTAAAAGTAGGCGGTAGATTCAACACTTATTTCATGCCCAATGTGCGAGCTAAAGAGCCACTATACAACAACTTCTAATATCTACATTTAAATGCAATACGTATCTTGATTTATTAATGTTTTTTGTGTTTAAAGGTGTCCAATAATATTACAAAATGTACGCATATGTAAAGAACCTCAAATCGAAAGTGCGAATGGTATGAGGGGTAGCGAAGCTCAATACTATTGTGGGAGAGATAGAAACCCCAGACTGGAGGCACAATATGTGTTGGCTCGCAAAAAGGGAGGCAGTATCCTTTGAATCATGTAATGTAATCAGTAAGATCAATTATCTCGCCGTTTGATTATTAAAATAACGTTCGATCGGACAAAACATGTCCAAGCCAGGGGAAAGAAACAGACTAAACGAAGACCATGGCAGAAAGCAGAGTTCAAGTAAGCTTGCTCTTTTTTTCCTTCCTCTGTAATGTCTGTTTCTGTAACTGGGATACGCTTATAATCCCCATTTTCTTCCTCATAGTGTTTGCAAAGCTATCGCTACAATGTAACCTAACGAGTGTTTGTGCGCGAGTCTGTGTTGCTCTCATCTTCTTGACATTTCTACACAGGTTTGGCAAACGGCATGGACAACCACCATCCCGTTTGCAGTTCGGGGGAGAAACGAAGTCACCATTGTAGAAGTTACAAGTTGATTATTGACCCAGCGTTGAAAAAGGGATCGCACAAATTGTATCGCTATGATGGAACGACTTTTAACATGCCCGTAAGTGTTACATCCGTATTCGAAAAGAGAAACACTTAGCTACATTGTTGCAGTGTTTGTCTCAACGATTGATACATTGTTAGTGGGCTTGACACGTTACTTTCTGCACCTGACAGAGTGCATCAGAAGTGTCACTATCCCGTCGTTACAAACGCAGTCAAAGGTTTATCTAAACAACTCGAATCAACTCTAACCTTTTTCTTGAATGAATGTAGCGTTTTCTGGTGTAATCCCCTTCTTGATATCGGCAATCGGCGCGTTATATTCTTCCTATTGTCAGAATTCTTGAATGGTTACATTGTATAATACATTCTACAGAACCCTGGGATGCCACCAGTGGAAATCGTCCGAGACCCGAGAATCGGTCGTCTCTGGACGAAGTACAAGGAGACGGATCTCCCAGTTCCGAAGTTTAAGGTAGGATAATCAGTCACACCCCCTCTCAGATCTTGACAAAATGTGCCATGCTTTTTATGTTTTGGGGCTATAGACTTTTATAAGGTTCCGAAGTTTTAAGTAGCCTGACACACCCCCTCGACGTTGTTGATAGAAGTGTCATGCTTTTTATTTAGGATTTAGTGCTCCAGACAGGCAACACATGCTAAGCTATTGTCCCTTACATAATAAACACATTTCGCATGTTGTATGTCAAGACTATTCTATCGTGGTTATTTGGTTTCTCAAAATGTAAACTGCAGATGTCCAAAATGTTGATATTTAATCGGGCATAGGCTACATTAACTTTCTTTTTGTTTGTCACATTGCAGCGTGTAATTCAGGTTTCAATATGCTGTAGTAAAATGTAACATTCATCATTTAATGTAACTATTTTATTTCTTCAGATTGATGAATGTTACATCGGCCGTGTGCCTCCCAAGGAGGTGACGTTTGCGAGGCTGAACGATAACATCAGAGAAGGTTTTTTGACTGACATGTGCAAGAAATTTGGGGACATAGAAGAGGTGGAAATTCTATACAATCCGAAGAACAAAAAGCATTTGGGAATAGCCAAAGTTGTTTTTGGAACTGTAAAAGCAGCCAAGGATGCTGTCCAGACTCTTCACAACACGTCAGTTATGGGCAACATCATCCACCTAGAGCTGGATCCTAAAGGTAAGCAATCTTTACATGGGCTAAATATATATGAGTATTTATAAACAACGTGCAATTAATTCTCAGTTGTAGAAACAAAATGTACGCATATGTGAAAACACTATCCTTTATTTATAAAATGTCACTAATTTCATTTTTAGAGGACAACATTTAGTCACGTGTATAGCCTACGTTTACGGTGGTTGCTTGGTAACCAGAGCACTTGCATCTGAATGTCAGTGCGATTTACATGGGATTCAGCTCACGAGCATCAGTGTGTGCAAACTGCAGAACGGTATTTTTCGACTTGAATAAAAATAAAACGTAGTTTCGTTTGGTTTATTTGATTTATATCCAATTATGGCAGTCATCATTGAATTAGTTATAGCTGTTTAATTATTTATGTGCACAGGGACGCCTATAATAAAGGCCTATAATAAAATAATGCAATAATTATTTAGATTTTTTTTTGACTAATTCTAAACCAACTTTATAGCCGAAATATAGTTTTCTTGATTTCAGCCTATCATTAAACAATATTTTACTTGTTCACACTGGTTGCATTTTACCATGTTAATATATTTGGATAATTTGGCTATTAACATCAGTAATGAAGGACTTTCACCTATTTCCCTAGCAAAATTGAATATCGTTTATCATATTTAGAATTTACTCGTGTCATGACGCTGTAAGTTTTTTTTTCCCGCGTTCAACACAACTGGGAACTCGGAAATCTCCGACATCAGTGCTTTCAAGACAACTGGGTACTCGGGGGAAAAAACGAACTCCGAATGGGGGGAAATCGTTTTGAACGGTCATCCAACTCGGAATTCTAAGTTGGACATTTGGGCATCTTTCTAGAGCTCTGACTTTCTGACCTGAAGATCACTGACCTCATGAGTTCCTAGTTGTTTTAGAAGCACCACTATTCTCTTAATCTCTTAAAGAGACAGTGGTTCCTCTTACAGCAGCAGAGGGTCATAGGGATAGTGATCAGTGACGCATTTAATTTAAACTGGTAGCTTGGAGATCAGCAGAAAATCTAAGGCCTACTGAGTACCAATTTATCATTATAATTTCACCTGCCTGCAATAGTACGCATATATCCCTGAAATTGATTAATCAATTAATAGCTTCCATGTGTAGATGCTGATTTTTAAATGTACAACTTGAATTAAATGTCACTAGAACATTTGCCTTGTGGAAAATTCCACATGCAGAAAGAACTCATCCTGTTTTCAAATTTTATTTTAAGAAATACATTGAATAATATATGACACATTCTTGCATTATTGTGTATTTATTGCTGTGAATGATGTTCTTCTAACACACCTCTAAGGTCAGCCTGGTCTCATAGACTAGACAGTACACTCAAATGAGTATAATATGTTACGTTTGGTATGGTTACATAAGACAAGGTTACTTAACGCAAAAACGAAAGGAGGGTGGTTGGTCGGGCGTAAAATGTGAAGGTCTAGCACCCCAAAGGTTGCGTGTTTGAATCTCATCACGGACAACATTAGCATTTTAGCAAATTAGCAACTTTGCAACTACTTACCATATTGCACCTACTTAGCATGTTAGCCACTTAGCTAACGTTAGCCACAACTAATTGGAATTTGTAACCGTAGAGATAGAGGACTCATCTTTGTATCTGTGCCATTATTGCATATGTCACAGCATGGGCAGTGCCATTGAGGCAATCTCCATTTTGAAGTAGTACATTTATTCTTCAAGATTGGCTGATCCTGCCTGATGACCCGGTTGGACATGACTCCAACAGTTGGAAGTGGGAAGTCCCACCCAGTTGACTACATTAAAATGGTGGAAGTCCTCAATGGCACTGCCCATGCTAATACTGCCTTTTGGCCACTAGAGACCTCTATCATTCTCTATGTTTGTAACATAGAGTATCATACGAAATGGATGATGGACATCCACAAATTTCATACATACCATACCAAACGTAACATATCATACTAATTTTAGTGTCCCGGATTTTTGTTTACTATGTTACCCCTGAGTCCAGGTTGCTAAGGCTACTGAGAAATATAATTTGATTGAACCATATCTTAACTTTATCCATCCAGGTGAGAATCGCCTTAGGTACTTCCAGCTACTGTTGAATGGCACCTTCACCCCTCGGACACTTCCGGTGGGTGGAGAGGAGGCCAGACAAGTGTCCCCTCGTAGCCTGGCAGAGGCTCTTCTGGTAAGACCACCACTTTTATGGTGGCTGTTTAGCAGCACTATGTTATGTTGTATTTGAGACAATTTGCAAGTGTTCCAAAACAAGCTTACAGGAAAGGTAAGCATGTTTAATTTGTCTGAACATTTTATTTGATTTACTTTTTTATGTTTGCATAACTAGTCTCTCTGCAGTGCCAACTGATAGGCAAGGCCCTGGCCTAGTCTCTTGAACAGATTGTAAAGTTCTGCGCATAAGCCTGGGTCTCTCAGCTTTAAGGAGCTTTGCATTATTGAAAATGAAAAGTGTCCCATAGTCAACTGCAGACCAGCCAATATGAGTTTATTGTATGTCACCAGAAAGGTATTTCAGATGAAGGCATCATTTAGTTAGTGGGGAAAAAAGTATTTAGTCAGCCACCAATTGTGCAAGTTCTCCCACTTAAAAAGATGAGAGAGGCCTGTAATTTTCATCATAGGTACACGTCAACTATGACAGACAAATTGAGAATTTCTTTCTCCAGAAAATCACATTTATAGGATTTTTTATGAATTTATTTGCAAATTATGGTGGAAAATAAGTATTTGGTCACCTACAAACAAGCAAGATTTCTGACTCTCACAGACCTGTAACTTCTTCTTTAAGAGGCTCCTCTGTCCTCCACTCGTTACCTGTATTAATGGCACCTGTTTGAACTTGTTATCAGTATAAAAGACACCTGTCCACAACTTCAAACAGTCACACTCCAAACTCCACTATGGCCAAGACCAAAGAGCTGTCAAAGGACACCAGAAACAAAATTGTAGACCTGCACCAGGCTGGGAAGACTGAATCTGCAATAGGTAAGCAGCTTGGTTTGAAGAAATCAACTGTGGGAGCAATTATTAGGAAATGGAAGACATACAAGACCACTGATAATCTCCCTCGATCTGGGGCTCCACGCAAGATCTCACCCCGTGGGGTCAAAATGATCACAAGAACGGTGAGCAAAAATCCCAGAACCACATGGGGGGACCTAGTGAATGACCTGCAGAGAGCTGGGACCAAAGTAACAAAGCCTACCATCAGTAACACACTACGCCGCCAGGGACTCAAATCCTGCAGTGCAAGACGTGTCCCCCTGCTTAAGCCAGTACATGTCCAGGCCCGTCTGAAGTTTGCTAGAGTGCATTTGGATGATCCAGAAGAGGATTGGGAGAATGTCATATGGTCAGATGAAACCAAAATAGAACTTTTTGGTAAAAACTCAACTCGTCGTGTTTGGAGGACAAAGAATGCTGAGTTGCATCCAAAGAACACCATACCTACTGTGAAGCATGGGGGTGGAAACATCATGCTTTGGGGCTGTTTTTCTGCAAAGGGACCAGGACGACTGATCCGTGTAAAGGAAAGAATGAATGGGGCCATGTATCGTGAGATTTTGAGTGAAAACCTCCTTCCATCAGCAAGGGCATTGAAGATGAAACGTGGCTGGGTCTTTCAGCATGACAATGATCCCAAACACACTGCCCGGGCAACGAAGGAGTGGCTTCGTAAGAAGCATTTCAAGGTCCTGGAGTGGCCTAGCCAGTCTCCAGATCTCAAGCCCATAGAAAATCTTTGGAGGGAGTTGAAAGTCCGTGTTGCCCAGCGACAGCCCCAAAACATCACTGCTCTAGAGGAGATCTGCATGGAGGAATGGGCCAAAATACCAGCAACAGTGTGTGAAAACCTTGTGAAGACTTACAGAAAACGTTTGACCTGTGTCATTGCCAACAAAGGGTATATAACAAAGTATTGAGAAACTTTTGTTATTGACCAAATACCTATTTTCCACCATAATTTGTAAATAAATTCATAAAAAATCCTACAATGTGATTTTCTGGATTTTATTTTCTCATTTTGTCTGTCATAGTTGACGTGTACCTATGATGAAAATTACAGGCCTCTCTCATCTTTTTAAGTGGGAGAACTTGCACAATTGGTGGCTGACTAAATACTTTTCTTCCCCACTGTAAGTTAGTCGTTTTTCCAGCTTCAAATATTTGTTTGGTGAAAAATGTTGCCCCATGCCTGAATCATTGTAACTGCGCTGTACTCTAGTGAGTCCCTGTGACCCCCAGCCAATCTAAGATGACACCCTTATCTCTAATCCAGTTTATCAGTGCAGCAGGTGGTAAAATGTAAATGTAAATGTAAAATGGGGCCCAGGAAGGAATTTTGTCCAGAACCTCTGCCTGCCTGCAGAGGAAAGGGGCAGAGCTGTTGTAAGCCTGCCTGTACTTTGAGCCATAGCCCTTCTGCACAGCTTCTCCTGCAGGCAATGCTCGGCTGTCTTCAGCGTTTTGAATTAATGCATATTGGGAAGTGTCGCAAAAACTAAAACCTGACCCTACATCTTTAGATATAATTATTGGCCTGTTAAGTGAAATCCTAACAGTTGCTGTGTGCTCAAGATGCATTCTTTTCATTTTAAAACCTTTAACTTGATTGTGACATTAAATGGGCAATGTAGCCATGCTGATGGATGTTATATAGGTTAGGTTTCCGCAGTTGAATGTATGAAGTGCCTTCTGTGAGTGTGTTTCCTAAGCAGAGTTTGGTGTGTTCCTCCCCAGGCCTGTGAGCCCCTGCGCCGGCTCTCTGAGAGCAGCTCGTCTGCTGCAGTGGGAGGCACAGTGACCCCCAGCAGCACCGCCTCCAACACCACCCCTCTGTCCCAGGACACGGCCTACTCTAGCCTAAGGCAAGACACTCCGCAGTCCCAGGGCACCCCACACACCCCGCGCCAGACCAGTACCCCCTTCTCTCAGGACTCCAACTATTCCAGCAGGCAGGCCACCCCAGCCTACCAGTCTAGCCGGGCCGAAGGCTCTGGAGGCTACAAGTCTCGCAGACACGAGAGCAAGTTCCAGGATGCCTACAACCGGAGACCGGAGAGGCGTTATGTCCATGGCACTGGGGGATCAGGATCCTCCTCCTACCGAGGAAACTCTGAACAGTCTGCCTTCAAGCAGCACCAACCTGCCCCACCTGAACCCCCTCCCTCTTCCTCATCCTTTGCCCACACACCACCTCCCCCTACCAGTGCCAGCTTTAAGTCTGCCTTTTCTCCCTACCAGCAGGCCCCAATGCCCCCTGCGTTCCCCCCCTCAGAACCTCCGTTCCACCAGCCCGTCCAGTGGGAGGCAGAGTACCGGAGGCCCCCCATGGCCCCTGCCACTGACTTCAAGCCAGTCAAGGATAAGCCAGCTACTCCACCCATTCCAGAACCCCCACCTGAACCCAAGGCCCACCCCAGCACCCCCCCTGCCCGGACACCCAAGCACTGCCCCCACTCCCCCGGCACACCAACCCTGGAGTCAGAGCGAAATAGCCTGGACTCCCGTATTGAGATGCTCCTGAAGGAGAAAAGGACAAAGCTTCCCTTCCTTCCTGGAGGCGACTCATCAGACACTGATGTGCGTATGGTCTGCAGCCCCATCTCCTCCTCTTCCTCTCAGCTGTCCCCCATCCCTCCTTATGGGGGCACCCACACCTCTCTGCCCTCTAGCACGGGCCTGGAGGACGTCAGCCCCACGCCCCTGCCTGACTCAGATGATGAGGAGCCCATCCCTGTAGCAGGCTCGCTCCTCAAGGGAGTCAGCTCTCCAGACCATCTCAATGGGAAGAACGCCAGTGACCTGAAGGATGGTCGCCTCGGACACCACACACCCACAGACAAAATGGAGGTAAGAACCAACAGTATCATCCTTACTTTGGGTAGATGCAATGTTTAGAAAGTGGAAGATGGAAATGGAGAACAGATACTCCATTCCATACATGACACGTTATTGGCCACAGTAGGAGTATTGCTGTGGAGATGTCTGCTTGCAGCCGGATCTATTTGGCAGCTGCAGTGGGGGCACCGGAAGTAAACAGGAAGTGAACAGGCTTCAGTGTCTGATAGTAAGCCTGCACTTTCCCTTTAGTTTAATTCTTCTGTCTGTATACTACTAGAGGAAATGTTTCATTCTGGTTTCACAGCAAACAGTGACAAAATCAGTGACCGTTTTTATGGGTCTTGGTATGCTGTGAAGTTATCAACAACATACAGTGAGTGATACAGAACATTTGAGTGTTGTGTTTTTCCCCTGCCATCAGAACTAGTTGCCTCATAAAAATATACACTTCATACATTCGTCATGTACTTTGAAATCTGTTTTCTATTTGAATGGCTTTGTGTTTGCAAGCCATGTATTAATCATTTTGCAAAAGATGCAAAGCTGCTATTTGCTAGTGTATTCTCTACCTGGCACAAGAACACATTTCATCCAAAACTCCAAACTGGGGACATGCATCAGAGAAACGTCAAGCAAAGGTTTTAACCTGATCCCAGATCAATTTGACAGGCAAAGTAAGTGGCAGTACAGTTGCAGTACAATTTTAGGGCCTAATAGGCTACCTCTATCGGTTCAACTAATATTTGATAGTCAAAGAAAAATACTTCAGGAAGTAACTCTTCTCTTGATGTGTAAACGGTTATTTTCCTCATGTTTGGTACTACTCACTGTTTGTAACTAGCCTGTGCCCTGGTAATAGTAGGTCCACACCCAGTGCTGTGACTGAGAAACCTGACTCACTCTTCTGTTGGAGAATAGAAAACACTTTCACTTCCTCTTTCTAACACTCATGGGACGAGTTGCCAGGCTGGCTGTTAGCCCCATTCAACACTCAACTCACCACTTCCTGGTTCTGTTGAGCCTGACAATCAGGATTGGCCATACATCCCTGTATGTTTTATGTTATCACAAAGCAAACATTTCAATAAAATGGCCAGTTTGGCACACACACGCCACTCCCCAGGCTTTTTGAGTCTTTGTGGTTTTGATTGTTTCATGAATCATGATTTCATTGCCACCCAGATATGATGTATCAATGAAAGCTAAGATTAATGGGCTGTGGGATTAATTTGTCATTATTCATGCTTGTAAGCATTCATTCAGAATTAATTGTTACTGAATCTATGACAATAGCCTGG